CCAACCACATTCAGACCACCAACATGCTCTCTGCTGCCTGTCTCTGGACCTTTGTTCATCATATTTATCCATCTAGAAATCTCTTCCTCATCAAACTCCATTCCAAAGTTTAGTTCTCAACCTAGAAAGTGCCTCTTCCAGGAAGCTGTCCATGATAACAACCTTTATACCCTTCTGCTGCTCCATAGCTTCCTGCCTATCCATCACTACATTTATGAGGCTATATAATGATTTTCTCATTCCTTGTATGTCTCCTGACTCAAGAGAAGGCTTGTGAAAGCAGGGCCTTGCCTGCCCTGGTCTCTGTGGCATCATAGCACCTAGTATGTACACACTGAGGCAGACAGTGCATGAATGAAAGCCTTCAAGTTTCCAGCGGCTGCCTACTTCAACTTCACCAGTCTTTGGCTGCTTTGGGGTAACTCCCTCCTCCTTCCTTTCCCTCACTCTGCTTCTCCTGCAATTCTGCCTTAGACTGATCTGCCTTTTGGCCCACAGTTTCTGATAAGGAAAGCACTGTCTTCTCTGCCCTTCCTCTGATAGCATCTCTCTGGCCAGGTGACATAATTAACGGTCTCCATGCTGTCCCAGCACTTCCACACATTTTCAAGATAACTTGGCTTTTTCCTTCCCTCTGAAACTCATCTTCTTGCTCTGACTTCCATAAATTTTGCATGTTTAATTCCCTATTGCTGTTCAACTTGGTGCATCCCAGACTGAGTTAAACCCCTGAAGTAATTTAGGTAACAACTCAATTATCTCATCTCTCTTTCACTCTAATCTTTCCATTTCCATCATCACCTACGAAGCTGTGAAAAATGGATAAATGAAGTATTTTCCACCCAAACCTACTTCTCCCCTTGCAGTCTTATCTTGGTTCACATCACCAGCATCTACCCAGTTACCTGAGATCCAGACCTCAGAATTACGATCCACTCCCCACTCCTCACTCTCCTCTCTATTTCCAGGAAGTCATTAAGATCGTCTCCTCTCATATAGAGGAGTCTGTGAAGACCAGACTTCTCTGGCCAAATTACCACTACCTGCCCCTCACTGTCTCTCTTCTCTGAAACTAAAATCACCTACTGACTGGTACTCCTGCCTCCAGCCCCTTGCCCATATTCATCCATCCATCTATCCACCCATCCTCTAAACTTCCTCTTATGATCTTTCCAAACCACACATTGGTTAGCTTATACTTCTGCTTAAATATATTCCATGATCTCTCACTGCCTATAACAGGGATTCTCAACCCTGGCTGCACATCTGAATCTCCCATTGTTGTTGTTAGCTACCATTGAGCTGGCCCTTGACTCATGGTGACCCATGCACAACAAGATTTTTTAGAATCTTCTAGAGAGTGTTTTTAATAATATCAATTGATTGGTCTTACATGAGGCCTTAGTGATTTTTTTAAAAAGCTTTCCAAGTAATTCTAGAATGCTACTCAGATTGAGCACCATATGGCTTAGAGAATAAAGTCCAGACTTCTTTGCCCATCATTCAATACCCACTACAGTCAAGGACTTAATTTGTCTTCCCAGCCTTACATCCTACCAACCATCCCCTACCACATTCTAAATTCCAGCTCTACTGAGCTTCTTCTCTATCTTTATACCCACAATTACTTCTGGCTACAATTATATTCTTTATCTACCCCTTAGTCCATGTGGAAAACTCCTACCCATCCTTCAAGACCCAGCAAAACTATGACTTGCTCTCATAGGTCTCTCTTCCATAGTATTTACCGTGTGTCAAACTAGTTGCTGGGCACTGAATGTGATGAACAAAACAGGAACAGTCCCTGCTCACAATGATCTTACAGTTGGGTAAGGGAGAATGAGGGTGGGGGATGGAAACCCTGAAAGCAGAGGCTATCAGTACTGAGTGTGCATCAGAACCACCTTAAGGCTGGTTAAAACACAGATGCTGGGCCCCCATGTGCCCAGCATTTCATATTCAGTAGGCCCTGAGAACCTACATTTTCAAAAAGTGTCCAAGTGATGCTGATGCAGCTGGCTCAGGGACCACACTTGGAGAACCCGTCTTAGTGTATGATCTTAGTCTCCTAAAAAAACTCACTGCCGTTGAGTCAGATCTGACTCATGGTGACCTCTCCCTGGGTTTCTAAGGTGGTATCTCTATGGAAGTAGGGCTGCCCTAACAAACTACCATAAACTGGGTTGCTTAAAACAATAGAAATTTGTTCTGTCACAATTCTGGAGGCTGGAAGTCCAAAAGCAAGATGTTGGCAGAACCATGTTGTCTCTGAAGGCTCTAGGGGAAGATCTTTCCTTGCCTCTTTCTAGCTTCTGGTGGTTTCTAGCAATCCTTGGCACCCCTTGGCTTGTACCTTTATAACTCCAGTCTCTGTTTCTGTCTTCACATAGCTATCTTCCCTCTTTATGTCTTCCTATAAAGACACTGGTCATATTGGATTAGGACTTACCCTATTACAAGATGACCTCATTTTAGCTGATAATGTCTTCAAAGACCCTTTTTCCAAATGAGGTCATGCTCACAGGTTCTGGAATGAGGAAGCCCACATATCTTTTTGGAAGGCACAAATCAGCATATACAGACATTATCGCTGAAGCTGAGACCCAGGGGAAGAGAATGAGGCATTCCAGGTGGAGGGAACAGCATGAGTGAAAGCCTGAAGTGGGAAAGAACTTGGCACAAAAGCAAAAGGAACTGTATGAGTGGTACATAGAGAGCATAGCAGGAGAACAGAGCTTTCTCCAATTTCTCAAGCAGAATTGATGTTCCAGGTGTGACTGTATTGACACACTTTATCACCTTCCACTGTAAGTCCTTTCTTCTTCCTCAACCACTTCGCTATGCCTACCTCCAAGGTAGAATCTGTGTCATGGTCACCTTTATGTGCCACAAGCCTAATCGAAGCCTGACACAAGTAAATGCTGAGTGATTTTTGGCTTGGTGGCTGAATTTCAGTGTTCTGGCTCTTTCTCTAGGCTATAATCAAAGAAGAAATCTGTTCATTTCTCCTACAGCATTATGCAAGTCTCACATGCTTCACCTTCCTCCCTTTTCCTCAGACAGTTCCCAACATAGCTATCTTCAATCTAAGCCAAGTTCCCTTCTTCCAGATTTCTCTCACCTCAATAGATTTTTTAGCCCATTTGGTGACAGAAAGAAAAATTTTTCTGTCAAGTGACCCCTCTTCACCTGTTCTTCCAAACCCTGGGAGTTGACTGGTGGAGAGTGCAGTAGCCCAGAGGTTCTTGGGGATACAGTATCCAGCATCCCAATGTGACTTTGGGGTGGGTGATGCGGTCATAGTAGGAGTCAGCAGAGTTCTGTTCCCTAAACATGCTGATGGAGTCTCTGGGTGGGCAAATGGTTAAAGTGTTTGGCTGCTATCCAAAAGTTTGGAGAGTCACGTCTACCTGGAAGTACCTCTAAAGAAGGGCCTAATAATCTGCTTCCAAAAATCAGCCATTGTAAACCCTATGGAACACCATGAGACACGATAGACTCAACGGCAACTGCAACTGGTAAATTAGCTGATAGAGGAAGGCTGCATTTCCTGAGAGTGGAACCATGGCCTTTCCCAGAGGTGGCCCAGGCTCAAGGGCAGGGGTAGAGCAAAGCAGGCCTGGTAAGACCCTTAGAGCAGGCCACACTCAGCTGGTGCATGGGCCTCTCCCCCCATATCTTGCCTTTCCAACTCCTCCTGCCCACGTTGGAAAGTAGAGTAAGGGAAAGACTCAGGGGCAGAAGACAAGAACTACAGGAGAGATACTCTGTATGGCAAGATGGGATTATGTGTTTGATTTTTTTGTTTGGAATTGCCCTCTCTTCTTCCTTCCTAGAGAATAGAGTATGTGCACCCTAACAAAGGGCCCTTTGCTATAGACAAGAGACAGATATCTACCATTTTGTTAGTATTCTAAGCTTTGGGAAACAATGGAATTGAACTGTGGTTCTCAGGCTTGAGAGCATCAGGATCACCTGGAGGGCTTGGTAGAACCCAGATATCTAGACCCAGGCCCAGGGCTTCTGATTCGGCTGGTCTTGGCTGAAGCTTGAGAATCTGCATATCTAACAAGTTCCCAGGTGATACTGATGCTGCTGGTCTGGGGAAGCAGACTTTAAGACACTTTGAGAACCACTGTTTTGTTGTAATACTCAGTGTGTGCTAAGAATCTTTCAGTCATCACCGGAAAAGGGTGTTTTTGTTTTGTTTTGTTTTTGTTGTGAGTGTATCTTACTCCAAAGGAACTTTCCTTAACCCCTCCCCCCAAACACAGAGTCCTTGCCCCTCTCCCCCAGCTCCGTCAAGGGGCAAAGCCATGTGTAACATAGTTTCTAGGAAGCCAAGAGACAGAAGCTGATACCTGGGGAATAGCAAAGGAGTTAAGAGCCTGAGGGACTAGGGGAGGGAGGAGAGGGGATAAGAGGTGTCCATCCTTTGTTCTTTCCACTGTGTAGTTCTAGAAATCATACAAGTATTTAAAAAACACAATTGGTCTAGTATTTTTAATCCCCAAGGAAGGCAGTTTTTTCTCAGAAGGGAGAGGTGTGTGTAGCAAATGCTACACTCAGTGGAAGAATAGAGTGAGATAGGACTTAGCATCAAGACCTGGGTTTGGGTCTAGCTCTCCTAGCTACATGACCTTCGGAGGATCACTTCACCTCTCATGGCTTCTGTTTCCTCAACCGTAAAACGAGTCATAATAAAATCAGCCTAGAAGGATAAGAGCTCTGGTAGCATAGTGCCTAAGGCACTTGACTGCTAACTAGAAGGCTGATGGTTCAAACCCACCAGCCACTCCTCAGAAGGAATGTTGGGCACTCTACTTCTATAGTGATACTGCCTTGGAAACCCAAGGAGGGGTCGCTATGAGTCCGGTCCGACTCGACGGCACATAACAACAACAAAAGAAGGAAGGATGGGAGGGTCAAAGAGCCAAGGTGTAGGACAGTGTAGATGGCAGTTGATATGAAGCCAACCACAGCTGCTTTGGTTTCCACAGGAAGGACCAGTACCTCCTCTCGCCAGTGAACTGTTGGTATCTGGTCCTGCATCAAACCAGGCGGGAGAGCCGAGACCATGCCACCCTCAATGACATCTTCATGAACAATGTCATCGTCCGCCTCTCCCAGATCAGCGAGGATGTCATCAGGCTCTTCAAAAAGGTGGGAAAGCAAGTTGCCTCACTTGCCCTAGTCTCTGCTCTAGTCTGGTTATGTACTGTGCCAGCCAGGGTAGGATGTGGTTTAGGGAGATGGGTCCAGGAGGGCAGGGTGAGTGTCTATGGCAGGTGTGTTGAAAGGTGCAAGAGGCTGAGCACTGGACTTGGCACCTGAGACCCTGAGCTTGAACCCTGAATATCCCTTTTAAAAGCTATGTGATTTCAGCCACCTCAGTAATCACCACAAAAATAAAAACTTTCGTGTGAGTAGGTAAGTAATTAGGTAAGTAAAAGCAGGGATGAGCACATACACAAAAAATTAAAATAGCCTGAAATGGTTTCATTCAGAAATAATTGCTTTGGTGTTCTAGACATTTTTCATATGTACATATGCAAATACACTTTTACGAGGACTTATATTTATACATTCTCTAATGTACATATAGGAGCTCTGGTAGCACAGTGCCTAAGGCATTTGATGGCTAACCAAAAGGCTGGTGGTTCAAACCCACCAGCCACTCCTCAGAAGGAAGGTTGGGCAATCTACTTCCATAGTGATACCGCCTTGGAAACTGAAGGAGGGGTCGCCATGAGTCGGATACGACTCGACAGCAGTAGGTTTGGTTTTGGTAGTGTGCATATACATTTTTCCCAAATGAGATTATACTGTACTTATGATTTTATCATCTGCTATGTCCCCTAGCAATCTATTACAAATTTTTCCCACATCAATAAATATATTTATGTAATATTTTGAATAAAGGCATAGTATTTCGTTATATGTGTTACTAGGTGCCACTGAGTACATTTTTACTCCTAGTAATCCCATGTGACAGAGTAAAACTGACCCATAAGATTTTCTAGGTTGTAATCCTTATGGCAGCAGATTGCCAGGTGTTCTCCCATGGAGCTACTGGGTGGGTTACAGCTGCCAACCTTTCAATTAGCAGCCAAGCCCTTGACTGTTGTGCCATAAGAACTCCTTTGTTTCATTATATAGATGTGCCCTAATTTCCTTAACCAATTTCTTGCTGTTGAGCACTTAGGTTATTGCCATTGTTTTATAAATAATACTGCTGTGAGTGTCTGTGTATGTGCACCTTTGTCACATTGTGATTCTCTTAAAATCAGTTTCTGCAACAAGAATTTTTGGGTTGTAGTGTCTGGTGTTTAAAACCCAGTGAGATGCACCTGGTGCATAGGTAACAGCCCAGTTTATAGAATGAGACAGACTAGGAAGAAGGAAGAGGCCGTCCACTTCTGAAAGAATTGGGCAGGGAAAACCTTATGAATAGCAAAGAAACACTGTTTGGTACATTAC